TTATTTGTGCAGTGGACTAGACCTATTGGGGATACCACTTGAAAAAAATGCGCTGGAAACTCTTCCTCTAGGGTGGCGTGGAAACAAGTTAGTTGTTTTATATAGGATCTCACGGATCACGAGATATTGGAACTTTTATTCAAAAAAAATGAATTCTTGTCTTCGTGTGCAGCTTGGAATATACAAATAGGAATTGAATTCTCTGTATAAAAGTTGAAGTCGTGGGATTATGGTAAGCTATAAACTTTTATCACCCGCTTCACTATATATGATCCATGGTGTAGCGGACACCCTGTATACTGTATATATTGTAATTCTTTCAAGTCTCCAATGGACATATCTCAGTAACAGTAACATTTTCTACAAGTAATATTTTCGTTTCGAAGCAGTAGGTATTTAATCTGAATGGGTAATCACTCTTATTATATCCAATATATGGAAAACTAGTCATAGCAAGGAGCTGAAATTTCTTCATCTCATTGAGGTAATAATACTGATTAATATTGATAAAAAAAAATTTGACCTTAACGGTGAAAATCTAAAATTAGAGGGTGATGGAAAAAACAGTGTTTTTTTAATATTTTTCTGTAGTTGGCAATTTTTTCAATCAATAAATCACTCTGTATACCATGAAATGCATCAAAATGTGTTCTCAAAAATTATAATCAATAGTCTAAATCAACCCAATAATACGAGGTGGCTCATTAAACTTTATTTTCTAAACATCGGCATTCACGAAACACCATGTATAATTAATACATATAATGAATCGATATCATGTAATAAGAACATATCGAATGATAATTTTGATTTTTTAATTATTATCAAGTTGTAGTATCGATATTTAGAAATTGAAAATTACACAATAACTCAGATCTGAATCACCCTGTGATAAAGATCAGCATTGGTTGATTCTGTACATGATTGTTGTAACCGAAGGTTGAATTAAAAAACTGCTAGCAGAAAATTTTGATCTATTTGTCTTTTCTTGGAGATATGAGTAGATGAAAAGGAGGCATTTCTCAACATCAACACCCTGTATCTCAAAAACTGGACATAGGATCGGATTTGGACTCGACAAATCTGATCATTAGGTCGAATTCAGAGAATTCGACAGAACGCCATTTTTATATAGAAAAAGTGCGGGGTTCTTTGGTGAAGAGTTCTTTGAAATATTTCACGAACCAACCAAAATACATCCCATGGTGAGAAACAGAGCTGTAAAATGAGTTTTGGTGAAGAGTTATTCGATATATTCCTAGGTGGACAGTGAAAGGATGTTCTTTCTGGGTTTGATTGTTTGATGCAAAACATTCAGCATTATGAGTCTAGTATATTTTGAGTTCTCCAGATGATATCTAAGATATCATTTTTTCATGCTGTCTGTCAGTATATTGATAGTGATTGCGTCACGGTAATTTTCGATTGATTTAGCCGAGAATTTTCAGACCTTTCATATTATAGGTGTATGAAACATCTTTTTTTCTCAGAGTAGTTGACAGCTATATGTTTCATCTGTGTGAAGGCTGCCATTGTCATTGTTTCTCTATCATCTTCGATACTCTGTATAATCGCTAATCTTTAGGGCCCCTAGCCTCTAGCGCCCACCTTCATCACGAGTTTTGGTAGTGAGTTTTTGACATATTGGTTGAGAGTTGTTCGAAATATTTGTCTGATATCTGTTTGCAAGGCATTCTTATAGTAGACAGTTTTTGCAGCAAGTTCCCCTATATATTTTTTCATTGCTATTCAACTCCAACGCTCTGTATATGGACCGGAATCATTAGCTAGCGCGTGTATTTTGTGACGTTTTCGTCACATTTCCGTAGTGTTCCGTGACGTTCTCGTGTTCCGTGACATTTTCGTGTGTCGTGATGTTTCCGTGACATTTGCGTGACACTTCCGTGGCATTTATGTGTCATTTTCGTGGCATTTTCATGTTCCGTGACGTTTTTGTGACAATTCCGTTGCATTGCCGTGGCATTTCCATGGCATTTTCGGACTGTTTCTATATTTGGTGACGTTTCTTTGACACTTCCGTGGCATTTATGTGGCATTTTCGTGACGTTTTCTTGACAATTCCCTCTAAACCTCACATAACGAGTTTCGTTCAAGAGTTGTTCGATATTATTTCACGAACTAGCCCGAATACTTCCTTCAGTGAAGTACAGAGCTGTTTTACGAGTTTGGGTTAGGAGCTGTTTGACATATTTGTCAGGAATATGTTCGCTTGGCAGACCTAGAGTAGGCAGTTCTTGCAGCGTGTTGTCAAATGTCATATGCCAATTGTCATACGTCAGCTGTCTAATATGATTTCACCTAAAGTGGTAGGTTCTTGCAGCGATTCTCCCTGTATATACTTTATTCCATCCAAGTTAAACACACTGTATATTGAATGGATGCAGCAGCCACCTGGTAGCCGGCTTACAGGGGTTACCTGATTACGTGTCATCGATCAATGGCCATCTGTCAAATATCATATGTCAATTGTCATACGTCAGCTGTCTTATCCATGTTCAACACATAAATGGGGCAGTCTAACCATGGGCCGCCCTGTATATATATTTCCATTTATATTCAATTCAAGCACCTGTATATTTTTTTTAAATCTTCATTCACCTCAGACACCGCGTGGATGATTATGTCACTCCATCGCGCTCCCGCTTTTCTGCTAAAACAAAAAACCGCGAACCGTGGGACACCCTGTATATATTTTGTCCAATTTTCATTCAACTCAAACACCCTGTATATGAATATTCAATCTTGTTATTGCCATCGGTGTTATTGTTGTTCTATTCAGCAGCTTGCGTTACCGCGCCGCCGCTTATCCGTGTTCCCGCTAGAATGCAGGCTGCGTTCCAGTTAAGAGTAAAGCAGGTATTTCCCTATCCTTATAGTGAGGCTCTCTTGGTTTAAATACTCTCATTCATCGATTGCTGATTTCCAAAGTGGCCCTATGCCACTATGGGGGTGTGACATCTTCTCGACTTTGATGCTGTTTTCCATAACATGATGTAAGTACCAAGAACCATCATCCTGTTTCTGTTGTTTACTCGTTTCATGTTTCTTCCTTGTTGTTCCGCCCTCTTGGCACATTTTTATGTTTTCGTGATTGAATAAATTGTTTGTTATTCTTTTGAAAAACAATTCTCCTTATCTGGGGATAAATATGGTTGGGTGGTGAAATGATCAAAACCTCTCGTCAAAAAAAGCCTAGCGAGTAGCTATGTTACGACCTATAGGAGGGTCAACATCTGAGTTGCGATACGTGATGGAGGCGCTGTTTGTTTTCAATTATGCCATACAACCTACTAGAACTATCTGAGTTGCGACAGTAGAAATACACTGAATACCTCAGAATATTCAGATTATACATCGACAACTTGTTGCATAATTAAAAAGAGTGTCAGTCTGCCAATTGAAATAATCGCGAAGCGGGAGGATTATTATGTTGAATTGACACGATTTGTTATTATGCAGGAAGTTATCGATGTATAACTACAAATAGTTTGGGGTTCGAATCGTATTAGATGCGATTATTTTTTAGTAGCTCTGAACGAACGTCAAGATTTCACGATGGGCTTTGTTTGTATATAACAATATGAATTGATGAACTATAGAAATAATTCTGAATTCCTGATTGGTGGAGTTATACTCTATGTATATCCACGTATATTCAAAATCACTGAATTGAACATTCTGATTGGTTCGGAATCATACGAAAAAAATAATCAAAATTATATTTACTGGTAGTATTTTCATGTAGAGCTCACGATTATGTTGTTTTGAAGAATGAGTGTAAGGTGGGTGTAATAGGTGGGGCAGGTGAAACACATGTGATAAGGTGAATCCCAATTGAGATGGTGAAATTGGTGATACAGGTAACAAGGTGAATCGTAATTGAATAAGTATCACAGGTGAGACAGGTGAAACACAAGTCACAAAGTGGATCTTCTGTGACAACATTCACTGGTTAGTGTCAACAGTTCTGAACCTCGAAGAGTCTGCACAAACCACAACTAGATTTCTATTGCCTGTGACAGCTTGAGAACTGGATGGACACTGGATAGACAGGATCCAGGACCGCCCCAGCTATACTACTGGTTTGTTTTTGTCTGAATGCTTAGTCACTTCTTCATCATCCAATACCTACTTCCTATCCCTCTAGGTACGCAAAATGAGTCTCGGCAAATTCGGACGTAGATTCTTTTCACACAATGGGCGCTCAACGATGGGGACAGTCGGCTCTGGATTTTGACATACTCCAATTAGTAATATTGATTGGACATTTGAAGATGTGCACGAATGAACGATGAAGAACCTAGATAGAATGATTGAAAATTGATACCATAAGAATACGTGACATTGAATTGATGATATCAATTGATAATTCTTTGCCTCACAGTAGAGCTTTTATCATGCGAGCTGTCACAGTAGTCCTCTCTCTAGTACCCGTTTCACCATTGTCATCTTGAATCTTCTTTCTCCAATGCAAGATTATATGAACTTCACAATACTGTTTTTCATGGAAAAAATTGGACTCAACGTCAATCATGGAAAAATCATAATCAAGTACACCAGAACTGTGTCTCATAACATAAAAACGCTCGATTATATTCGATAAGTGTAATTGCCTGCATTAGTGGGGATAACCCACTGTATGATTTCTGCACTCTTGGGTGAATCATTCTGTATGATATCTTGTGAAGGAGATTTCTTTCTGGAAGAAATTAAGTTTCCAATTCAAGAGTATTTGACCTCGAGCCCAGGAATGAACTCACTTGCGGCGCATTGTTCAGCGGTGCATCGTAGTGTTTGCCTCTCCTTGCTGAACACGGAAATGATGTCCCTGTGCCAATACCGGCTATAATGTGTACTTTTTGGTTATCCAACAATTAGTTACACTTGGGACAGACCACTTTATAACTAGAACAAGTAGCACACGGTCAGGGTCGACTTCATTCAAACTGTATTAACCTCATGACTATGCATCTCTTCAGAATAGTTTTTCTTTCAAGGGAATGGTTCTTCAACGAAGATGGAAGTCACAAGAAACCAGGAGATAATATAAAACCACGAATATTGTGCGAAACTTTAAGAGTTATAGCCACCAATGGTGCTGACGATTTTTACGAAGGACTCATATCAAAAATATTCCTTGAAGATATAAGAGGAGCTGGAGGCATTCTTTCTGATGGAGATTTGAAAACATATCAGTAAGACATTATTATGTTGCAGTAGTTATCTATGCATTTCATGCGATGCATCAATATCTTTCAATTCTAGGGTAGAATGGCAGAGTCCAATTTCAATGAATTTGAATCATAGATATCAACTTCATACAGCCCCCCCACCAGGGTCTGGAGCTCTCGTAGCATTTATACTCAATATTCTAGAAGGTTACAATTTCTCTAGAAAAAATCTAAGTGATACGCAAGGCATGGTGACAACTTATCATAGAATGATTGAAGCTATGAAATATGCTTATGCAAGAAGGACTGAACTAGGTGATCCAAACTTCGTCAATATGACAAATGTAAATGGAAACAAATTTTCGATAGTTTCTCGACTATATCATTTTATGATATGATGGAAAATATCCAGGAATTCAATCAATCGGGCTACAAGCAAACTAACTCATTGCTATGCAAAGCTTTCGATTGTAACTGAATATTTCATATACCATATTGATTTCAGCATTAGAATAGGAAATTACTCCCTAATATCTTCAATCATATCATAGATACGAATGAACAATGTGATTTGGTGGCAAGTAGGTTTCATAAATTATAGGGGTTGATGTCATTATGTGACCCCAGAATCTGCACCATCGGGTACTGCTGTTATACTCGCTATGTTCCCAGTTTATTTCAAAAACCATATATACATGAGAGATCAGAATAATTGGTCTACTTTGTGTGAAAGTATAATAGGAAAACAGTTCCGTCAGTCAACAATCGAACTGCCTCAATGTAGCTCCGTCTAGTTCTCCAACTCATTGCTTCGCCACTGAATAACCTTAGATATATATGAATATAAGAGAATCAAGCTGTCATCTCATCGTACGTATCCTCATACCTTAACTATGATATTCCCTATTTATAGGTGTTGAAATATTTACTCTCCAAAAATTACGCCAACAAAATAAGACGAAAGATTAAAGATGACGAAACAAGTACGGATCCAAGATATTATGGAGCGAAATTATATTCTAAAGAGGACAAAGGAACAGCACATATTTCTGTGATAGCAGAAAATGGAGATGCTGTGACTGTCACGAGTTCGATCAACTTGTAGTAAGTATATTGTATAGTCTTCATAGAGTCAGTTGAGGCACTTACGTTTCTGAAAATGATACAAGGATTCATAAATCCACCTTTCATTCTAATAGGAATAAATGAAATATTTTCTATTGATATTTCCTAGTATAAAGTCATAGTCAACGAGAACTGGACAAGTGCTGTCATGAAGGACCCGCATCTCATTCTCCAATTATATCGACCATTGGCGCTTTGAAATGGTTTAAACTCATGTTCCAGTAGCTGATTGATAGTTCCGACCAACCCAACCCAATCTACCTTCTTTTTCCTCCACCCCAACTATTTTCTTCAATACAGAAAAATAACGATAATGAGTTCTCCTCAAGTGAAATTATTCGAAAGCGAAATCTCTTTCCGAATTTCTGAGCAAGAGGTGCTAGAGATTTTTCACCATCGGCTGATTGAAGCTTCAAGATATACCAATGTTACATCCGCGGTTTGAGTAAGAACATCAAGAGTGTTCATCGGCACTCTCGAATTGAAAAGCCAGACATATTGGCTCCGAGACACAGATCAATTCATCTAAACCAATACGACCTTTATGCTCTGTTCGAGGTGCAAACTCCTCACACGTTCCAGGTTCACGGGAGGTATCTGCCTCCATTTCAAAACGAATCTCTCATGTCATCGAGAAGAAACATTGGAACTGAATAAATGTGATGTTATATGATTCAAACTTGATAGCCAGAAACATACCAAATATCTGTTGTCTACTCATCACCAAATTTCCCATTTCATTAAGAGCTATTCAAGTTCTTGTTTCTGAAGCTTGGCATGATTCAACTGCTTGGCTCATGTACTCTTACGCTGGGTGACAAACCGAAGATTTTTCCATCACTCACGGATAAGAGCAGCTTATTGAGGAACCCCCACGATTATCCAATGTCAATAACCAATCAGCAAACATCTCAGATAGCACAATCTCGTTTATAGAACGTTAGTAAGATATTCTTCGGGAATATTTGAATATCCTCAAGATTTTCTCACAATATAATGGAAATATTCTAGGGATGTTTTATGAACAGTCGGAATGGACTGTTTCAGATATTCTGAGAAAATTTCTAGTTTAATGAAGGAGAAGGAAGAAAATTGGAAGAGCGTGCTGTGGTAGACATGCAAACCTACTATCTTGTGATTCAATTTTGACGAACCAGAAACCTTAATCACTTCGACACGAACACGAACCAGATTGATGAATAAAATGAATTGTAGGATGACAACACTGACTTAGTGGGATAATCAGCATTGAGGCTAGAGAAAAATAGGTTATGTCAGGGTGAACATTATAAATATTATGATAATAATAATAATAATAATAATAATAATAATAATAATAATAATAATAATAATGATAATAATAATAATAATGAGAGAGAGACAACACACTTCCCGTATCCAGTGTGTGATGGATTATGTGAGGGCCAACAGGCCATTCACGTCGAAGGTGCGACGGATGGCCAATACATTGCGTCGCACCCATCACACACTCAATGAGGCAGTACTATCCACCATCAAACAGCACTGCCTCGAAAGGATACGGATGTTAGTGGCTGCAAAACAGTCACTGAAGAGGCGAGCGAGAGGGCTGGCGGAAAATAAACAATTCCGTGAAAAGCCCTCTCGCTTATTTCAACCGCCTCCAAGTGTGGTGAACAATCCGCCGACTGCTGATCAGGTGGAAACCTTTTGGAAGAGTATCTATGAGGTGAGACATCCATTCGACAGAGATACTCCAGCCCTGGCGCAGTTCGGTACCTTCTGCGGAAGATACCGAGAGCCCGAGCCCGAATTACTGCGCCAACCGATAACCACTGAGGAGGTTCGAGAAGCCCTCAAAGGCTCCAAGAACTTTGCTGCTCCTGGTCCCGATGGGATCAATAACTTCTGGTGGAAAAAGTTTCCCTCTACCCACCACCATTTAGCCAGTATATTCAATAGCTGGCTAAATGGGGAGCAGCAAATCCCTGAGTGGTTTATCGAGGGGCGAACCGTGCTTCTCCCTAAAACTGGAGATTTGTCCAATCCGAAGAATTACAGGCCAATTACCTGCCTGAATGCATGTTACAAGTTGTTCACACGCATCTTGTACATGCGAGTACTCCTAGTAGTTGACCCGGTTTACCAGCGGATTTTTGAGCAGCGTGGGTCGAAGAGAGGTGTCGCTGGCTGCAAGGAGAACCTGTTGATAGATAGAGCTATCACACAGGACTCCGTGCAGTACAAGCGGAATCTTTCTGTGGCCTGGATCGATTACCGAAAGGCATTTGACACAACGTCACATGAGTTACTCGTGTACTTGCTCAAGTGTCTTTCGGTGCCCGATTCCATAGTGAGATGCATAGAACAACTGATGCTGGTCTGGAAGACCCGCTTTACCATAACATCAGGTGAAGCGAGAGTCCAAACAGAGCCAGTCATCATAAGGAGAGGAGTATTTCAAGGGGACTCCCTCAGCCCTCTCCTATTCTGCATCTCACTTCTGCCACTATCCGTTGAGCTCAGGAAAACCAGGGGATACAACTGCGGCCCACCCAGTTACCGGAGGCATAAGGTCACCCACTTATTCTATGTGGATGACCTCAAACTTTATGCCTCTGGTGAGAGGGATATGGACCAATCCCTCAGGGTGGTGCAGGAGTACACGCAGGCAATTGGAATGGAATTCGGGATGGACAAATGTGCACTGGTTCATCTCAAGAGAGGACGATGCGAGAACTACGACAAGGACGCGCAGCTCGTGGACGGAAGCATCCTACGCCACCTGGATGCCGGAGAGACGTACACCTACCTGGGTGTAGAGGAAACTCACATCCAGGAGGCACAACGGGTAAAAGACGCTCTCCGCAGCAAGTATCGGCAGCGGCTCCGACAGATCTGGTCGTCAGAACTGTCGGGGAAGAACAAAGTCGCTGCGACTAACATGCTTGCTGTTCCGATCCTACTTTACTCATTTGGAGTGATAAAGTGGACTCAAGTCGAGCTGCGACAACTTGACGTAAGTACTCGCAAGATGATGCATCTCCATAGGAGTCTGCATCCAAATTCGTCCGTTCCACGGTTATACATACCTAGAGACCAGGGTGGCCGTGGACTCTTGAGCTTGGAGTATCTCCATAACAGAATGGTTCTGGATGGCGCCTGCAAAGTCATCAGGAGTTCGGACCCCCTTCTGCAAATGGTTAAAACCCATGAAGATGCAGGAGTAGGAGCTTTTCTTTTTGGGGCAGCACGTCGAGCAGCCGATGAATTGTCTCTGATTTTCGACTCCGAGCGCGAGGCTCAGGACTCAGTTACCGAGCTAGAACCCGCTCGGAGAAAAGCCCGCATCAAAGCTGCAGAAGTGAAAAAGCTCCTGCAGCTTCACATGGATAAGCCCATGCATTCGGTCTACTTCAAGACCATTGAAGACCGGGGCTTATCCAAAGAACTGACTTTCGCTTTTCTCAAGTCAGGCGGGCTTAAATCGGAAACAGAGGGGTTCATCATGGCATGCCAGGATGGGGTTTTCAACACTCTCGTCTACCGTAGCCGTGTCATGGGTATGGAGGTCCCTGACACAAATTGCAGGGCCTGCCGCAGGGCGCCCGAGACAATTATGCACCTGCTGTCTTCTTGCATGGTGTATGCAGTCTCGGCCTATATCCATAGACACAATGCGGCATTGCGAGTGCTCTATTATCACTTGAGGCACTCGTACGGAATAGACGAGACCCCAGTGCTGCCCTATGCTCCGGGGGATATTGAGTCCGTTGTGGAGAATGAGAGGTGCCGAATTTATTGGAACTTCTCATTCCCCACCCTCAGGCAAATACAAGCTAACAAGCCTGATGTAGTCCTCCTCGACCATCAAACCAAAGCGATGTTCGTGATCGAGTTTTCGGCGCCAGCCGAACCGAACAT